AATATCTTGTTATTTTCTTTGTAGCTATTTAGTATTTCATTCCTAGGTAACGTTGATATCTATCCAATATATAAACTATAAAATTGATATATAGACTTGTGTAAGCTTGAGTATCTAATAGACTTATAATTGTGCACACATAAAGATTAATTTTCTTTTATTTGATTCTCTTCTAAATCATTTTAAACATACTTGCTTTGATTGAAATAATTACTTTTATTATTTGTTAAAGTATACTAAATCTTTTTAAGACTAGGTTAATATATCCTTCTAAGATAGTCTTTGTAATTTTTGAGATCTATTTCTAAATATCTCAATCCTAATAACATAAGTAGTTTCATTCATATCAATCATCTTAAAATTATTGGTGAAATTTTTTTTTATTTAGTATAATAAACCAATATCACTACTATCAAGCAAAATATTATTTATATATAAAACTAATATAATAAACTTGTTCTTATTGACATTTAGATATTAATATTGATCAATAGTATTTTTCTTAAATAAGAAAAGAATAATGGTATTATAAAACTTTATATATTATTATCTAGAAGCTGATTTAAAGACATAATTCGATTTCCTAAATATGCATACTAAATTTTATATATTTTTTATTTTCTCTATAAATGTTTAGGTTAATATATATAATTTTCTTATCCATATTTTTATTTAAAAAAATTATTTTTACATCCATTTGATGTAACTCAAAATTATAATGAGCCATTAATGTCATAGCGATTCTTAATGATTTCATTTAAAAAATAGATAAAATATTTTATTAATGTTATTTTATTATTCATTTTTATCAATTCTTTGAACAATTTGAAGAACAATATATTGAATCTTAGATTTTGATGATTAAATCAATTGATGTAGTTATGATCTAATCTATGCTTTGAGAAAAGTGATACAGGACTAAATTTGATAAGAAACAACAAAATGATTAAAGCAAGAATAATCAAACGTTGGGTCGGAGTTAGAAATCGAACATTGCGTCAAGATCGGATGTTGCAAGAGTCAACATGTCGAATGATCGAGCGATGCGCTGAAGGT